GTCTAGGGGAGATGTCGTGCAACCCCTCCTTCGGCGGCATCGGGAAGGGGCACCTCATGCGCGAGGTGGACGCCCTGGACGGCTTGTGCGGCCGCGTCTGCGACCGGTCCGGCGTGCACTCCAAAGTGCTGAACCCAGATCGATCGGCGCCTCTACAAGGGCAACATGCAGGTGAGAGCGGAAACCGGAGCGCGGCGCCAAGTCCTGAAAGGGATTCGGAAAACGGAGGCGTGCATGGGAAAGGGAATCGCTGCGTTGGGAGCTGGGGGGGGGGGGGCATAGGTGCTTGAAAAGCCCTGTGTCTCTCCTTAGCTGTTAAACAAGAAGTGACTTTCCTGTTACGTGTTGTGTTTGCTCAAATACATGTAGGAGTTGCTTTTTCTTTTTTGAAAAATTGACCCAAAATATGTTTTGTTTTATATCATCTTTAAACAAGAAGTGACTTTCCTGTTACGTGTTGTGTTTGCTCAAATACATGTAGGAGTTGCTTTTTCTTTTTTGAAAAATTGACCCAAAATATGTTTTGTTTTATATCACTTAGCGCTTAACGTTTATATTTGAAAAACAAAATGCAGCTGGTAGCCGTGTGTTTTTAGGCAGAACGGCACAGCGCCTGCAAGAACTCGGTGAGGTTTCTTGTGCAGACGTACGATGCCGCTGCCTCGCAGCGTTGCAGGCGCTGCATGGTTGGATGCAGAGAAAGGAGTAGACCCGGCAGCTGAACTGGCTGTATGTGTCACCGCCTCCTGTACCTGCCGCACAGTGCCATAATGGGAACTGGGACGTGCTTTCTGCAGCTAAGGTGGAGCAGGATCAGAGAGCATCAGGTTGGGCAGCAGGAGCTCTAGTGTTCTGGGGCCTTAAGATCGCTGTGTTTTTTTTTTTAAGATCGCTGTGACCCATACCTTTTACGTATGGGTCAGGTTACGTGGTCTAATAATTTCTTTTGAGCTGAAACTCCATCTGCATATTATAAGTTCTACTTAATAGATCAGGGGTTGCTATAGTAACTGAGTATCTGAGTGTCTCAGATGCTGCCAAATGACCTGGTAAGGATGCAAAAGGGAAGAGGGAAATTGGATGTTTCGGAAAGCAACGAGGTTTGGGACTACCAGACATTCTGGGATTTCCTAGATTTTTGCAGTAACTCCTTTCCTGACAGAGAGAGATCCTTAATACACCACTGTTGACAGTTCATGAGGCATCCGTGGAGGATCTTCTCTTGACAGAGCCAGAACCAGACCATCCTGGGAAATGCCAAGTGACAGGAGTCGTTCTGGGTACGTACTAGTAATCAGCGAGCACCTTCAATTACTTTGCGCTACGAGCAGCCTTCACGGTAAACCTTTCTGATTCATTAGCTGGAAAGCTAGATTAGTCAACGGAGGAGGTTAAATGTAGACCAATCAGGTTAATATCTGTAACACAGCGAAAAGTATGATAACTGGATTGATTAGATATTGGGAGGCTGCACGGGTTTTATTTTCTGTAGGTTAGTGATTCTAGATTCCATTCTGCGTTGTATATTTGGTAGGAACGTGCAGTAGACAACATTGTAGTCCTTTTATTAGCAGACTCGTGCTTTGTTACCACTTGCTGTTCTAGTAAGCAAGCTTTCGCAGAGAAGGACCTGGTTAGGAATTGTTCCCAGGAGCGGGTTTTCTGTATTAGGGGTAAAATACGTGGGGAGATAGGGAAAGTGTAGGAGTAATTGTTATTGCAGTGATTGCTACTCATACTTCTGGTATGGAAGCATTGATTTTGTCAAATGCTTAAAGATGAATAAACGCTTGGTAGAGTGTATTAGGCTAGTTTTAGATGGAAACAGCAAAGTGCCAGGGCTTGGCTGATACCAAAACATACGCGTATCTGAAAACTTGCTCTTTCAGGGGATGGGAGCAGAGTGCGTGCTGGGAGTGTCGTCCTTACCACTGGTACGTTTCTGAGGGGGATGGTTGTCATCGGACTGGAGATGCATCCGGCTGGGCGGCTTGGAGATCAGCCAGCTCTCGGGCTAGCCCAAACTCTGGAGAAACTGGGATTTGCTGTGGGTAGGCTGAAGACTGGGACGCCGCCCCGACTGGCCAAAGATACGATTGACTTCAGTGGTCTGGAGAAACGTACAGCTGACAACCCTCCTGTGCCGTTCAGCTTCCTCAGCAAGGCTGTGTGGATCAAGGTGGGACAGCGGACATCAAATGCACCTATAGCCAGGCAGTGAACTGGGGGGAGTGCTTCTGGGACTATCGTGCTCAGAATCAACCAGGAGAGTAGGTACAAGGGATCTGCGTGACTGGGAAAGTGAGCTAAGTGGTATTTGTGTTTGAGGTTTTATATTTCTCACTGCAAAGGAAAAATCTGCTTGTTTTCTTTAAAAGCAAGCACTTTTCCTCTCACTTCTCAACTTGAGAAGCAGACTTTCTGTACTTTCAAAATGAGAATTGCCTGAAGTATGACGTTAGCAATTTGTTGTTCATGCGCTGAGTACGGCTCATGGCTATACAAAATATTCCTACGTTAGCTGTGTAATGTGGAGATTTACACGTTTTTGCTGGTTACCATAGCTCTGAAGCAAGACTAGAATGTTGAAAATGGAAATTATTAATACTTTTGACTTGTAAAGAGAATGGATAGTTATTCACAGAGCTCAGAAAGAGCGTGTTAAGAGCAACTTAAACAGCTGCCGAAGAAACTGAATTTTCCTGAGAAAAGTCTGGAAAATGAATAGAATTCTTTTGTATAATGTAGTTGAACGGCACAGGATTAGGTACTAGGAGGTAATTTGTCCCACAGCATATAGGAATTTTAATCCCTTATAATAATAAGGGCGTAAAAGTGATAGCGTTTGGTTCTCAGTATTTGTAGAAAAGATTTTGAAGAGTTGAGGTGCAGTGCTGTTAGTGTTTTGAACGTTAGTCTATTGATTCTTCTTTTCAGAAGAAACAGTGAAATACTTTTCGCTGTTTGTTTGTTTTGGATTTCCCATGTTAATTGCAGGGTTTTGAGAGATTTCTTTTATCTCCACCACACTCTGCTGCTGCTGTTAGCTTTTGAATCAGCACTTGCACACTTCAGAGTAATGAGTTTCTACAGTTAATTTGAATGCTGTGACGCAATCTGTTGCTTCAATAAGAATCTCCGTTCTGTAATTAGGAACACTGTGTAGAATAGAACTTGAATTCTAGACTCCTAAGCTGTGTTTTTTTCCTGTTCTCGATCTGCTTTGGGGTGTGTTGCTGAAGCTCTCTGATTGTTAGTGTTCTGTATGCACAGTTGGTGTGATGGTACTACCCACCTCTCAAGGACTTGAGAGCCAGCTGTCATGAAAAGCCCTTGGAGATCCTCAGAGCAGAGTTGTTCAGTAAGCCTCTGGGCATTGTGGCTGGATTAACTTAAAGAGAGCTTTGACTTCTTTCAGCCAGAAGATCAGCTACCATGTTACCTGACTCACACTAGCACCAAAGCTGAGCAAATTATACAGGATAACCTTCACCTGAATGACCATGTAAGGGAGACAACAAAGGGGCCTCGGTGAGTATACGGCATCATGCAGTGCTCTTAATGTCATGAGCTGACAGGGTATCTGAAACTGGCTGGGTCTCCCCTGCTTTGCTTCTGTCTTTTCTCCGTGTCGTATGGTGCTTATGGTTATTTCCTGTTGCAGATACTGTCCCTCTCTTGAATCGAAGGTCCTGCGCTTCCCAAACCGCAGACATCAGGTGTGGTTGGAGCCCGAAGGCTTGGAGTCCAATGTCATTTACCCGCAAGGCATGTCAATGACACTGCCACTGGAGCTCCAGGAGCAGGTGATCAGATCCATCCCGGGCTTGGAGAAAGCCACAGTGTTACAGCCAGGTGAGAGGGAGGAGTAGTTTTAAATCTGTTTGTCATATTGGTTGCAAGTCAGTAAAAATCAGTCTTTGTTTAGAGCATAACAAAACCAAGTTAGTATGAAACAAAATTAATTCTTGGATCCAGGGATTGTTGCTTGGTTATTTTTAAGTTGTAAATGAAAATTTATAATTTAGGTCACTCTGCCCAACTGATTGCTTGTCTTGATAAATAGGGACCTTCAAAGCCCCTCTCCTAATACCTGTCTTCTCATTTTGTTGCAGGCTATGGGGTACAATATGACTTTCTAGATCCCCGTCAGCTGACATCTTCTCTTGAGTCTCGTCTCGTTCAGCGGCTCTTCTTTGCAGGGCAGATAAATGGCACTACAGGCTACGAAGAAGCTGCAGCTCAGGTGGGTGAATCTGAGAGCGTTTAAGAGACACGGGCTTGGCCTTCATCCTTGATGTGCAGCCCTGCTAAGCCAATGGGCAGGCTGTGCTGATGAGATGTTCTTACTTAATGGCTTCAGACTTGCCCAGAACGTATTTGCGCTTCAGTATCTGCAGTTGCCGCTGAGATTGCCGTAAGGGAAGTCATTGTACGCACTGCCAAATATTGCTACAGTTACCACAAAGAAGAAACTGCCTAGATAGACTGCTAGCGCTGACTTGTGTGTTTCCAAGGTGCAGCTTGACACACAAGTCTTTGTAGCCAGGTGTGCTGATGTTTTAGCTGTGAAGGAAAACAGATAAATCTTGCTTGTTTGTTTTCTGCCTGTCCAGGGCGTGATTGCTGGGATCAATGCTTGCCTGCGGGTTCATGGCAAACCCCCTTTCATTGTCAGTCGCACCGAGGGCTACATTGGTGTCCTGATCGATGACCTTACCACTCTGGGCACCAGCGAGCCGTACCGGATGTTCACCAGCCGCGTGGAGTTCCGCATGTCCCTCCGGCCTGACAATGCCGATGCCAGGCTCACGCAAAGAGGTCTATTCCTGTGCTAGCTCTTGTAGTGAACAGCCCTGCCTGGCTGTAGGCCTTTGTCTCACTTGCTCTCTGTCTCTGCAGGTTTTGAGGAAGCTGGATGTGTGTCTCAGGAGCGATATGATCAAGCAGTTAAGATGAGGGCTGCTTTAGAGGATGGAAGTGCAACACTGAAGTCCCTTCAGTTCAGTATATCCAAGTGGTCCCAGTTAATACCCGAAGTTCCCATTAGCAGCAGTCGAAAGTCACCTGTCAGGTAAAGGTTGCAACTGAAACTTTCTTGTCTGACCTAAGCTTGCTTTTGGAGATGTGCTGTGAAACTGGTACCTCTTGTCCACCTTGTTTCCTGAAGCTGTCAGTACTTACCTGGAGTATTCCCGCTCGATTCCCTTCAGGGGACTGATAGCTCATCTTTGCCTACAAGAAGAAACACAACATTGGTGTTCTTATTATGCTGCATCTTATTATGCTGGCTTGACGCAGCGTCCCAAGGCGAGGGAATGCTCCACTGGCCCAGTTGGTTCCTGTCGCCCGTATTAAAGAGTATCACAAAGTGGTGACACTTTGTGACGTTTCAGGCCAGCTGCACGGCAGTGTCAGATAGTGGTTATTCTTGGACACGGTGGCTCTTGTTTCCTGTACCCATCCCCTCTACCTTACCTTCTCTTCTCTGTTGTTTTAGGTCAGTGACTGAAACCTCACTGACTCTGTTTGAAAGGCCCCTTGATGCTATAATGTCGTTGATTTTTTTTCTTGCTGTTTCTTTATGCTAACAAGCCTTCCTCCTAGAAGTGAGCTGCTTTTCTGTGTAGGGAGGTGAGCTTGGCTCTGCAGTTGTTCAGACCTATGCTGAGGTGTTACGAAGTTTGAGCTGGGAATAGCTGTAAGTCTGTGTTACGCAAGTGAGAGTCCTTCCTACAACAGAAACTTATTCTTGTTTTCCACAGTGCCTTTGACATCCTTCGGTATCCGGAGGCCAGCATGGAGATTCTAGCAAGGGCTATCCCAGAGCCCCTGGGAAAGCTCGTTCAGTGGAGAGAACTGGCAGAGAGGTTGAAAATAGAAGGTAGAGTGCAAGTGTTCTCATTTTCAAATGGGATTTGTGTAGGGTTTGTGCAGTAAGGGAAGAGCCAACCCATTCACTCCTCTGGGTATGCGCTGTTTCCTTGTCAAGTGGAGCGTTGTTATCAGAGCAAGTATCTGTTCCGCTAGGCCACAACCGTGCTCAAGGCACCAGTGTTTCTCTTTTGTGGTGGGTGTGAGAGCAATCAAGTATTTCTACTCACTCCTGGGTTTTTTGTCTTTACTCCTCTGTCAAAGAGACTGTCCTCTACTGGAATGGGAGAAAAAGCCAACCTGTGTTTTCATTCCTATAATAAATTAAGGGGTATGACTTCTTCCGAAATAGTGATGCCAGTGAAGTTCTTCAGTGTGTGGAGCTGGCACCTTCCTTTAAATGTTTTTGACAGTCCCACTGGAATTGCTCATTTTGCTTCCAGAAATTTCTGCAAATGACCAGTTTCCTGTGAACGTCTATATCTGGTCCTTTTGTTTCCCTAATCCTCCATTACAGCTGCTTACGAGTGGTGTGTAGTGAATCAGCAGCAGGAAATGGAAGAAGTGCGCCGTGACGAAGCCCTCCGACTGCCAGAGGACCTAGATTACTTTGCCATTGATGCATCTTTGTCAGCAGAGGTGCGGGAGAAACTGGACTCTAACCGTCCTCAGACGGTAAGAGGTTGGGCCAGAGCAGGGTTGAACACCGATGAAACCCTTCCGTGCCCTCCCGAGGGGTAGGGAGGGGTGAGAAGAATTGGGGAGAGGGATACATGCTGATTTTTGATTTCATTTCTCACTGGCTGCAGTGAAGTTTGTTGTTGGTTATCCTGTTCCTCTCTCCTCCCACCCCGCCACAGATCGGTGCAGTCAGCCGCATCCCTGGAATTACACCAGCTGCTATTCTTAACCTGCTAAGATTCGTGAAGACCAATTACCAGAAGACAAAGAAAGTAAAAGACTTACCTCGGGCTGACAGGTACTTGCCAGGGAAAATGTTCCTGGAGAAAGCAACTTCCCAAACACAGACTGCAGCAGAGCTTTCTGAAGAGCAGCCAGAGAGTAGCCTCGTTAAAACACCTTTGTAGAGAAGTATATCCATCCTCCCACGATACGTGACACGATCACCTTTCCTCATAAGCCTGTTCCAAGATGGAAAGGATGCTGGCTGGAGCAAAAGGAGTTCTAATTGTGTCCTGTGGCAGCGTCACTGAGTAGAATGAAGATGATGAACGTGCCATCCTTCTGTAAGCGCTCGGGAATCTAAATACAGCCCATGAGATCGCCAATTCAAGTAAAAAGACAGAAGAATTGCTTTTAGAATTCCGCTTACTTGGAAGATGGCAGATAACCAAGATCTGTTGAAAACCATCTTGAAAGGAAGGTGTTTTGCTCTTCCAGTATGATAACATCTCGTATCCATTCAGAACCCACAGTTGCACAAGATGATTGGAGTTGGAAAGCGTGCTCCATTGACTTCAGTGCTCATTTAGAGCTGTGCCGTGACTATAATGTCTACTGTTTGTGTGATGTTAGCCAATAGGAAACACTTCGCTGTGACAGTACGTTTGCCATATGAATATTGAAGACTAAATAGCAGACTGGTTGAATGTAAATGCTGTAACATGTTTTGGTTTTTTCCTTATTCTCCATTAAAATAAATACAACATCTTCAAACTGGCTGTAGAGCTTGGTTGTCTCTATTGGAAAAAAAGTTATCATGGGTTTATTTTGCTACGTAAGGGGAAAACTTAAACTATGTGAGCCTTAACCTATACCATAATCAGAAGAGTTACTAGCATCTTCTAAAACTTCACACTTCCTCCAAAAGTGTTTTTGGGTGTGTTTTTTGTTTGGTTGGTTTTTGTTTTTGTTTTTTTTTAACTTACACACTGCATTTGCTTTAATAGCTATTATATTGCAGTGTATTTTATACAAAGGTGAAACTTTACTCTTTCGGACTAATAAAACTTTTTAAAAATTAAATATGGGTATGTATGAATGAACTGTTGAAGATTAATTAAGGACATTGTCTGCTGTAGAGGCTGATACAGAGTTTAACAGTGTCTGGAGCTAAATACGACTTCGTTCTGTTCTATAACGACTTGCAATCTAAAGGGGCCTAGCTCTTCAGTGTTTTCCCCCAAAATGTTATGGTCATAGAAATTAATAACAGCCTTCTGATCTAAGCTACTTTTGTGAGGATAAGCCGGTGTGATGGCTATGTTTTGAAAAGGCTTTTGATTTTGCAGAGTTACGGTCGCTAGTAGGGCAGTAAGTTCAGACAGCTCTGCGTTCGGTTCTCTGCTCTGCTCCTAGCATCAGCTGAGTGAATTGCTTTTTCCCGCCCCCGAGGGTATTTTATAAGTGGAAGGAGAAGAGAGAAGTTACAGAAACTGCCAGAGAAAGTATTCATTGGTGGGGAAGACAGATGGGCCGTTTGAATGGAAAGGGTGAGTTATAGCAAGGTAAAGTTAACTTAGGGAATTAGCTTTCAAATGAGCACAGCTTGCACAAGCCAGCCTATTTAGGAAGGTGGAAAGTGCATCTACCTTCAGAAAAGCCCTAGCGCATCATCAGGTCATAATTTTACATATACGGCTAACGAACAGACGTAGTGCCAGATTCGCTGCAGATTGGCGAAGGCAGCTAGGGGGAGACTTTCAACCTAGGCCGGGGCAGTGAGCTGTGAGATCAGGAGCGAGGGGCCAGGTCAGCGAGTGGCTCGGCAGCCAGGGCAGTGGCCGACGAGGCACTGGGGCCAGCGGTGCGGTGCCTCTTCAGCGCTTGCCTGGCTGGGCCGCCCGGGCTGTGTCTGGTGCAACCTACAGTAAAGCAAAGGAGAAAAGATGGAAGCATGCAGCCTTCATCAGAAGCTCAGCTGGTTTGAATAGGCAAACAGGAGGCCTATAGGCATCGTTGGGGGGGAGGAGTTCTTTGGATTCACGTAGCTGGCATTTCTAGAACACCAATTTTGGTGCCTGCGTTGCGCTACAGCAAGCGTAGCTGCCTTCTTTCCACGAAACTCCAGGCTCACAAGGTTTGAACGATTTCTTGCGCTAGCAAAGCTGAAAGGAACGTAGGCCACAGAGGCAGAGGGGCAGACACGCACAAGCTTTTTCCAGACCACTGTGACATGAAGGCAGATCTAGAGCTTGCTCATCTAAAACACTGTTTCATACAAGCCAGTAGTTAGTTACAGGAGGGACTTTCAGGAGGGCAGAAAATTCCCCGAACAAATCTCTAAGCTCTGCCCGTTCTCCTGCCGCGTGGCAGGGCCTCTGTCAACAGAGGATTGCTCTCCTTTCTCTGGCCGAGAAAAGAACCACTCATCCAGGGCAAATACACACCGTACGGTTCAGGAACATAATTTCAAAACAGTAGATAAATTTATTTCCAACAAAACTTGTTCCCAAGCCTGTTTGCCCAGTCGGTTCAGAGGATATTTAGAGAGAAATTAGGTGTGTTTGAATAGCAGTACGCTGTTGTTTTAACCAAGATGACTAGCATCAGACTAGACAGACTACTGCTTAAATTAGGCAAGGAGTCAGGATCTGTGCAGCAACAGCTTGAATTTGGTCTTTCTTGATGGCCTGCGAAGACTCAACTGCCCAATGCACATCACATTCAGATGCAGATTCTGTTACCACGCATTAACCCTTCGTGCTCTGATCATGGTTGATGTACCTAATCCTATACAAATCGTAGATACAGTTTTTACAGCCTGGGAAGGAGGCAGTATTGAATTCTTTATCCTCTCACTTTTAAACAGATTGTGCAATTTTTTTGAAATTGCTTCTCCTAGTTCTTCTTCTTGTCAGCAGCCATTTGACAGGGAAATCCTGCTTCCTATAAGGTATGTCTTTAAAGGCAAACCCCCTCATGCCCTGCTGTAAAGGTAAGCAATTGTTCCTCGCTCTATCTGTAGTACTAAATGTATTCCTTTCCGTGCTGCAGAGGCCTTGGTTCTGGTCTCAGGCACGCTAGTGTAAATCAAAGGGTGATTCCACTCAGCTGAGATGCGCTCATGTGAAAGGAAGAGCAAAAGGAGGCTTTTGGTTTTCTTTAGCAGCTTAATATGGCATAGCTGTGGTTTGGGAGCTAGGAAGTGGGGAGGAAGTTAACTCTGGGGTAAAATTGAAGTCAGAGGCACGTGGATGTACTGCTTTCCAGAAGATCTTTCCTTAACAACTGCTGTCTTTCTTTATTTTTTGGTATGAAGCTGTTCTTCAGCTGCTGGTAAGATCCCTTTTTAAGACTGGGTGTTCTCTGTTGACGTATGTGGGTTAATGATCTCCCTGTTTGCTGAAATATAAAGCCTGGCACGTGCACAAGTTGGAAGACTGGTTGTTCCTCAGGTATTAGCTGTTTCACGTATGTCGGGTTTGCCACAGTATTTCATGTTTGTTGAACTCTTCTTGTTTGGGGAGAGTTTGAGCATTAAACGAAGTTATGGGCACAAGTAAGTGGCTGCTCTATATTTGTTTTCCTAAGAGAACTGAGCACAGAAATGCTAAACAACTTGTTGTAAATAGCGTGGGCAGATAAGAAGGCTGCGCTGTCTGCTTTCTACTGCTAACTGCTGGAGACTTGTTATAATGCGCAAGGTTTGTTTTTTGTTTTTTTTAAGGAAAGGCAAAGCGTGTTTTGAGTCTTGCGGTCTCACTCAGGCAGGCAGGATGCGAAGGGTAGAACGAGGAGCTCGTCTTTAACGTGAGCGTCTGCTTGCTCTTCCTTGGCTGTGCTGTCACGAATTGCGCTTTATCCTCTTAAAATCCTCACTGTGGCCAAGGAAGCAAGGGCAGGACGCGCAGCGAACCTGGCCTAGCTCACTGCACCTAGCAAGGGTCTTTGGGTTCCCTACTTCGGTGCTGTTCTCTCTCCACCCCCCACCCTCACCCCTGCAGAGCATAGGCCTAGTGATCATGAATTTTTCCTAAGCCACGTTTCCTCACATCTGTACCTTTCTACCGTGTACCCTACTTTCAGGACACCTCTTGTCTTCCTTTTCTATTGTAGCTTCTTATTCTTACCATACTTGAGCGAATCTCCTGCCTGCTTTCCTCATACGCTTTTTTTCTATTTTTTTTTCCTACCAGAAAAGTCAGAGCAAGAGAAAAATAAGAGGATCTTTATGCTAGAAGGCACTAAAAGCTGTTGCCAACTCATCTCTGATTGATAGTCAGACAGGTCCTGGAATGATCGCAATGGTGACTGTGCTAAATGGCTCTCCTTAGTGCCCTGCTTTGCTGCCCCTTCCAGTGTACGTACACGTCCCCTAGCTGAGGGTTCTCCTTGCGCTTTGGCCAGTAACGACCCTCAGTTCCATTCGTTTGACACCTACCTCCTATGCTGAGGTCCTCCGCTCAGTGATAGGTATGCCAAAGTTGCCATTTAGCAGATGCAGGAGGAATCTGTGGCTCCCCAGGAGCTGCGGTTTCCCTTGGTAAGGCGCAGTCTGTGCTTCTTGCTCACACATGGCCTGATCCTTCCGTGCCGGTCAGAGTTCTTCCGGGTGTTTGTTTATAGCCCTTTGCATGGCTGTATAGGGCTAGTGAGAAGAAACTGTGGCTTTCCTCTCTTGTGCTAACAGTTACTTGGTGGCCAGGGCATTCATCTGAAAGGTGGGAGACTTAGATGGCAGTTCCCGTTGTGAAACGGGCAGAGAAGATGGGATTGAATCTAGATCTCCTCTTGCTTTAACCACTGGGATGCTTAAGGAGAAAAGTGATGAGTTCGTCTCTGTTCTCTTTTTAAACTACTGAGCAGGCTTGGGTGTGTAATCCTGAGGGAGGAGACAGGGTGGATTCAGCTTGGAGGATTTCTGACTCCACAGGAACCCTACGTGACTCCGTGTAGTCCCATACGTGAAGCCTGGGCCTTGACCTCTGTGCAAAGACGTCCAGTGGTGGCAAATCTAGCGTGAAACTTGGAGGCTGCAGCCTCTTCATCCTCTTCATCTTGGCTGCAACCCTTTTGTCCCTTATCTAGACTTAAGTCTAGGTACTTTGACAGCCTATGATGTCAAAGGTGCTCCTCAGGCACCACAGGCTTGAAGATGCCCTGGTCACCATCTTCCCAATCCGTGCCTTTTAGGTAACAGTTGTCTCCTCTCCTCTCCAGGAGTGGCTCTGCAGAGCTGAAAAGCAGCAAGGGGCCGGCTCCACGCTACCTCCTGCAGCTCGCTGCCCGCAGGAGCGAACCGCCCCAGCACAGCTTGTTAAAAGCTGCGGCTGAGACTGGAGGTGCATGAAGTTAAGGGTGAATGCTCTCATTCGCAGCATCCATTGCAGCTCTTACTGCAAGCCCCAGAAGGTACGTTTTCGGCACCACGGGGGATGGATAAGCGCACGCTGTTCTCCTTCAAGGCAGTTGGAGCTTGCTTCAGCCGCCAGAGAGCGGGCACGTGGCCAGCTGGGAAGGGAGCTTGCTTTGGGCCTGGGAACAACAATGGAAAAGGGGAGCTGGGCTGTGCACTCTGGACAATAGGCTCCTTAGTTGCAGTTGTATGTGGCTCCACGTGACAACAGTCATGAATGATCAGGTGGTGACCTGTGTCACACGCGGATGGGGTTTTTGGAGTGGCAAGCAGAAATGCTGGTGTGGCCTGTGCAGCCGAGCTGGCTGCTGCCGAGGGGTTTTTGGTCCCGCTTCCC